GCAGATAAACCAGAACACTTTTCACTCCAAGAAAAGTGCACACAGACTGCACATAGACCAATTTTTTTTTTGCGATGGCCGCATAACTGTCATTAAAAACACTAGTAACCACACATTTTTTTATTTACCACATACAAAATTGTGGTAAAATGTCAAAGACGACAGTTTTTAACCGCGGCCAATGTTTTTACCATGGCTGTTGTGGCGATGCACGTAAAACTGACGCAAAACTGTCGTAAATGTTCCTCTTTATGTTTTTACGACAGGTTAGCGACAGTTTTATGTGCGTCAGCACAATAGCTGTGGTAAAAACATTGGCCACAGCTAAAAACTGTCGTCTCTAAGCTTTTACAACATTTTTGTGCGTGGTAAATTAAAAAATGTGTGGTTAATGGTGTTTTTAACGACAGTGATGCTGCCATCGCAAAAAAAATTGTGGTCCATGTGCAGTCTATGTGCACTTTTCTTGTACTGTTTCGAAAGAAGAAAGGAAGAACAACCGAGACAATCGATGTTCGGTCGTTATGAAGGAAAGAGGAGGTGTGGACTCCTCTAGGGATTGTAGCCTTTAACATGTTTATTTGGGCCAATTTAACTGAATTGGGCTTCTAATTAACTTTAACAAAAATGTTTCTAAGACCACAAAAATATATTCTCTCTTTTTAAATAAATTGATTAAACCTTAGATTATTCATTTAAAATTCTTGGAGTTTACTGGTTAATGTTATCTGCTACAAACAAAACATGATAAAACAATAAATCTCATTAATCATAAAAGAATCTAAGATAACTAAGTGAAATAATATTAACTTAAATGACTAGCTCATAAAATCGGGGTGTTACAGACTGGGACTCCCCGACCATCGACCGGACCAAGAAGTACCGCCTGGTCGTTAATCAGACGGAAAAGGGACCACTGGGTCGTCGATCGGATGATACACTTGTAATTTCCGTATGTATGTTTATGTTTTTAGCTAGTTTTGGTTGTTTAATATTTCGGAAATTACACACTTTTGGTGTAATAGTTTAGTTTGTTAAATTCTTGTAAATTGTTTAGATTAGGTTTATTCTGAGCTCAAACAGGTCTACTATCACTCAAAGGACGGTTGGTGAACCCCAAAAGTGGAAGGAGGGTGCAAAATCACAAGACAAAGGGGAAGATCCTGATTTTTGGTCTATACTCGATCGAGTATATGTATATACTCGATCGGGTATCTTGGTGAAATTTCAAATCGGATCGGATCCGAAAACAAAGGAACATGCAGGGAAGATTTTGACCACGATCGAATGGCTATACCCGATCGGGTACACCGACATACTCGATCGGGTATAGCTATAAATTATACCCGAATATCGATCGAGTATGGATCGAATTCGAAGTTCTACACATACTCGATCGAGTATATGTACATACTCGATCGAGTACTCGACCTGCACCTCAAAGAGCCTATAAATACACCTCCTTTCCTTCACTTTTAAAAAACCAATTCATATATACTCTTAAGCTCAGTTTAGAATAGAATTTCTTTATATTTCTTTTAGCATGTTTAGTCTCCAAATGAGGAGCTAAACTCTCATTTCTTGGTATTGCTCTTGAAGCTTGTTGATTATTAAAGTTGTGAGTTATTTTCTTAAGCTTCTTTCCTTGAATATTAATTCTTCCTTCAAATACTATTTCTATATCAATGTTGGGGAGTGTTGCTAAGATGACAATTAGTTAACATCTTGATATTGGTCCTAGTAATAGCTATTCCTTCCTCTATGTTAATATTGGGGAGTGTTACTAAGATGACAATTAGTTAACATCTTGATATTTAACTATAGTAGGATTCATTCCCTTTAATATTCTTCCTTGAGTATTAATTAATTCCTATTCATATTTCATATTAATATTTTGAACATTACTTAAAGGATCAACTAGTTTTGTTTCACATATTAATTATTACTAGAAACGATCAACGAACCGATGGTTAATCGTTGATAGTTTCACAAGTAAGTAACTTGGGTTTATTAATGCACGGTCGTGGTTAATAAACTCAAGAGGGATTAATTTTGTTGGTTAAACCGAAACCGTTGTGTTGAGGTTATCAATCTCAATTGATTTCATCAAGGAGTTAAAAGATTAAATGCTACTATCAAGTCGGTATATGGCGTTGTTCTATACTTGAATAATAGTAAGGGTTATTAATGAACGGTTGTTGTTAATAACTATCCTCGATGAATTGGATATACTCCTCGATTGAGTATTCGAGAGGAGATAAGTTATAAATATAACAATGATCGACTAAAATATATCAACAAGTGGAAAGTAGCAATGCCAAGTCACTTTTATCTTTGAATTAAATCCCATATAACTCGTTCATCTTCGTGTTTAATTTAATTAAATCACTCAACAATCAAAACCCCCCTTTACTTACTATTTATATAAAAAGAAAGTTATTCCTTTCCCTGTGGATACGAACTCTACTTCACCTATACTACGTATAAGTGTTGTATTGAATATTATTTTGAGTGCACACCACGACAAAGTGCACGTCATCGGACAAGATAGGGATTATCGAGTCGTTGACCCGACCGGATAGGGACCATCGTGTCATTGACCGAAACGGAACTGACGCCGGGGCGGGACTAAATCAATCACAAGGCGTAAGTATGCAAATTCATTGCAGCGTCACTCTAGCATCCACGTATTTCAAATTTGGAAAACTAGTAAAACTCACTCTTCTAAATCAACAAGGAAAACAAAGAAATATCTCATTCTTTTTGTTATGACTTGTGGAGTTGTGGAGTTGTGGTGTCAATTGAACCACTCAACTTTTTTTCTTCATATATAGGTCTATATAATATTTCAAAAAATAAAAATTGACACCACTAAAAAATAGTAATTGTTTAATACTCCGTATAAGACTAAAACATACACAAAGTAAAAGAAATATGAATTATTGTGTTTTATTCTTCAAATATGGCTTCTTTAGTTCTTTCAAAAAAATAACATGATTAACACTTCCAAAATAGGAGTGAATGGGTCCTATTTTGGACATAAAACATTGATATTCATATTTATAAATTTTATCTATGTTTTAGTCCTATTTAGAGAATTTTCTAAAAAAAGCTACTACCTCCGTTCTTAAATAAATGTAACACTTTGACTTTTACACTATTCACATATTCTACTTTGATTACATATTATTTATTAATATAATAATATTATTTTATGAAAAAAATATTGTTAAACTTGTCTCATTGTAAATTTTCATAATCTAATTTTTTTAATTTTTTTTACTAAACAAAATCATTTATATTAATTGTCAAAGTTGTGTCTCGGAAAGTGTGAAATGTTGACCGTTGCATTTATTTAAGAACGGAGGAAGTATATACGGAGTATAAATATATAATCCTTCAAAAATCTTTCAATTTATGTGTCTTATTTTGATTTGACACAATTATAATAAAATCTTTCAAAAACTAATAATGTTAATCAAGTTTGAGTATAATAAAGTGAAATGTTATACATCACGTATTTAAAAAAACATGACACCTATTTTGGGATAATCCAAAAAAAAAATTAAGACATGTGAAATGAGACAGACGATATTTTATCAGGAATATTATTATACTAGTACGGAGTATTAGACAAGGTGTTATAATCTTCTTTCTTCAAAGTTTGAATGAATTGATCGACACTTGATAGAAAAATGTATAACGTTTTTAAAACATGAAAATGCGACGTGCACAATTTTGAATTAGCATTTAAATTTTATAAATAACAATTTTTGTTAGTTTGCTTTATAAATTGACATATGATAATTATTTTCTCAATTGATACCACTAACCCTAGATCCTGGCTCCGCCACTGTTTCTCAATACGATTTCATACACATTTCTGTTTCCCTTTCTCATGTTTTTTAGCAATTTTTTTTTTGTAAACACATTTTCTTATTTCCTTTTTCTAGTTTACCAATTTTTCTAGAAAATTAAAAAATACAGAGTACTATGGAGTACTAGCTTTGGTAGTAAACATGTCCTAACTCCTAACCCTTTGTATTTTACTTCTTTTGAGCCCATATTTTATATAGAGTAAAGGGTCAGTTTGGTCCTCGAAGTTGCACAAAAAGGGTCAAATAAGTCCTTATATAGAAGATTCTGTCCAGACGTGCCATTTGAGGTGGCTCCCTATATAATTTTTTGATGAAATTTTTTGAGCATCTTATTCATTAAGTCTAGTTTACTCATACCGAATTTCAGCTAACAATTCAATCGGGGAGACATTCAAATGAATTTTTGAAGATAATTGCACTTTTAACGGCACAGTTATCTTCAAGAATTCATTTGAATGTCTTCCCGATTGATTTTGTATTTGAAATTTGATATGAGTAAACTAGATTTAATGAATAAGATGCTCAAAAAATTTCATCAAAAAATTCCACCGGGAGCCACCTCAATGTTAAGACCCGGGGTTCCATCCTAAAAGGTCAACCTGATAGGAGGAGTAGCCCGTGTGTTAATATAGCACTTTGTTCATCCAAACGTTTCCGGTGTGGGACATTTAACACCCCTCCTCACGACCAGACACTTCGTCTGGATCGTGCAATCATTCATTTTTTTTTCATCGGTCCGTTTTTTTTCATCCGGCCATTTTTATAATCGTGTCATCACGATTCATAAGGGGCCCCACACCATGGATCGATTTGGCTCTGATACCATGTTAAGACCCGGGGTTCCATCCTAAAAGGTCAACCTGATAGGAGGAGTAGCCCGTGTGTTAATATAGCACTTTGTTCATCCAAACGTTTCCGGTGTGGGACATTTAACACTCAAATGGTACGTCCAGACAGAATTTTATATATAAGGACTTACTTAACCTCTTTTTTGCAACTTCGAGGACCAAACCGACCCTTATCCCTTTATATATAGGACTACGTATATTTTAAACCTCTTTCTTTAGGTGAACGAATATATAATAGGTCTACCTAAATAATACTCCGTATACGTGTGATGGTATTGCATGAACAGTCTTTTTGGGACAACCCCTTTAATCGCAAATCAAAACCACCCTTCAATTAAATTCCCACATCACGTCCGAAATGGAAACCCAAGAAACCCAAATTTACTATTTACAAAAGCAGAAAAGCCATGAGTAGTAATAATAAATTCCAGGGTTTCTATTTTTAGGTTAAATTTCTGTGGGTGGTGGAGAATTGAGTAGATCGAGAGCTAGAGATGGGGAGAGGAAAGGTGGAGCTGAAGAGGATAGAAAACAAGATCAACAGACAGGTGACATTCTCAAAGAGGAGAGGTGGCCTGGTGAAGAAAGCCCATGAAATCTCTGTTCTTTGTGATGCTGAAGTTGGATTGATTGTCTTCTCCCATAAAGGAAAGCTTTTTGAGTACTCCACTGATTCTTGGTATGTGTATATATTTTTTTTATAATTATTTCTAATTTTATATTAATTAGAATTAATATAACTATTATCGTAGTACTTAGGCCATGAACTCAAACTTGTCAATTACTTAGAGAAATCTGATTTTTTAATTTAGTATTTGCTCATCATGTACATACATATGCATCCATGATGAAATATACATGCCGATTTACGTAGCTCAACTGGTAGATAGGTGTGCCATAAGAGATAAATCTTGGGTTTGGATCCTACCAACCGGTCTACGATGAGAGATTTCTATATAAAAACATATGAGATGACTCTTTGCAAGTACTCTAATTTACATTCCTAATTAATTGTCCAACCGGTGTTGCGGTTCTTAGATACGGAATATGAGATATCATCCTTTTTATGATGAAATATACATATTCATGCTATTAATTTTAATTTATTTATATTTATTTTCTGCCATATCTATTTGATCTTTCACAGATACATGATAAGCTATGAGCCTACAACGTAGGGTTTCCAGTTTCATGACACATTTCTTCTTTTGATTTCAAGATTTGATTTCTTTCTTGTGGAGTTTTTATGAAATGATGTTTTATTATGAAACTACTCCTAGTACTTTTTGGAGAAGTATGATTTGAAAACTTTGAGACTTATCAATTTCACTAGTAACAATTAAGGTACTAAGAAAGGAACTACTCGATCCGTACATATAATATTGTTATCCTTACAAACCATATGATTCTTGCGAGAAATTTCCATGCTTCTTTAGCTAAATTAAGGTTTGTTAAACATATACGTAAAATGATTTGGAGGTTAAGTAATAAATGAACTGTATCTTTCATCTTTGTAAGTCGTTTTCATCTAATAACCAGGACCAGACTTACGGTAATTCTAAGGTGGATTTAAGTTGTAGTGTTTTCCCTAAATGTTTTAGTTTATTGGTTATTTTTTATTATTCCCCTAGGTTTGAATTAATATAATCAGTCATCAATACTACGTACTTCGTATAATTTAGTCCAATTTAAATTTTTGAATGGACCTTTCCCAAGTAATAATTAATAAACTCCTAAGAAAAACAACATTGAATGCTCCAATTACTCCATATGATCGAAGTACATTCGATTGTACCAAATGGGAGTAAATTTAAAATTTTAAATGAAATACGGAATAACTGTTTTTGTGTTTTTTACTTTTAGAAAGTACATATAGTCGTGATAATAATGGAAAAGCAAAAAACTCTGTGTTGCGTATGGTTGATGGGAAATATCAATTTTTCAATGCATTGAAGAAACTGAAGGGCATTGACCGAAGGGTACTAACTTCTTCCTACTAATCTCTTACGTGGCACTCCCTTTTACTCTTTTGCATGTTACACTCTCAGTATGCACTAATACCCACTATCTTTTCAATAGGAAATTTTATTAGAGTATATATACGGATATACCCTTAACTATATACGGAGTATGAGAAAATACATATATACAGATATACGAAGTACTTCTTAGCCATTTGAATGTAGAAAGAACTCCTCTATGCAGGACTAAGGATGTTTTTACTTGGACTGTAATTCATCCCAGACCAGACCAGATCAGACCAGACCAGACCAGTTCATACCAGACTTGGATAGTTATAAAAATACAAAGGAACCAGACCAGACCAGACCAGTTCAGACCAGACCAGACCAGATCAGACCAGACCAGCAAATTACAGTCCAAGTAAAAACATCCTAAACAAGGATGGCGAAATTCACAAAAATAATTTCTACTTTTAGGGATTCTACAATTATAGTTCCTATTGAGAATATTCATAAATTTAATCTGAACTAACAATAATGTCCACAAGAATAAATTAAGGAAAATTAAAAAAAATCCCATTTAATTCTCCCAAATCGTACCTCTACTTTCCCCTTCACGACCCCTCTTTTCGGGTAACACTTCTATCTTCTATCCTAGAAAGAACCACATATGACGGAAATGATATTAAGATTAAATCGATTTTAGTTTTAATTCACTTTGATAAGAAGAACTGTGGAGAGAAAAGTGAGAGTATGGACTGATAGTATTAAACAGACATTAATTTGAATTTACCCCAAGTTATTCTTGTGAACACTTTTGCTAGATCTGATTATTTTTATAGGTACTCTCAGTAGAGAATATTATTGTAGAATCCCTAAAAGTATTGATTATTCTTATGAATTTTGCCAACAAGGATAAAATTCATGAATTTGATTGCCCGCAATTGTTTTATTCCCAAAATATGGCTCATTCTCTTTTATTTTGGAAAGTTGTACGTAGTCAACTTATTTTGGATGATAAAACATATTGGATCCTATTTTAAACATTTTTATGGTTAAATTTGGTCCATGTTAAGCAATATCTATTAATATAAGGGTATGTTTGTTCTAAAAAAAAGACCATTGATCAAAGTGGAGTGTTTTATTTAGAAAAGTGGTCAACTTTTTGGGGACATAGAAGACATTATTGTTCAATATAATTGTACTTCTCCCGTACGATTTATATAGCATAATTATGCTGGAATAAATAGAGGGTGTGAGCGGGATCTTGGAAATGATTAGTTTTGAAAAAAATCACGATTTGTTTTTCAAAATTACACTTATTAATTAATTTTATTCACATCAAATGCAGAAGTTGATACTAGCTAATTTAGTATATTTTGGGCCATGGAGATTATAAAATTGTACATATATTAACATTAGTCACATTTTTATTAATGTGTAAAAATAATAGTGTCATGATCACTTAAGCGTAAAACATAAATTCTTAAGATTGAAGTGACTAATATAGTCACCACACTTAAGAGATCACATTTTTATAACTTAACTTTTGTCTAAGTCATAAATATGTACTCCATAAATATTTCTAGGAATAAACCCAATATATTACCAAAATGAGGATAAAGGGCAATAATATGACATTGTGACAATGTGACTTATTGATTTTATTTACTTCGAATCTACGATTATGTTTAAAACTTTCTTCACATCATAAAACTATACTCACATTAGATTTTGTCATAGTTTTACACATGCATCTTGTTTAAATACGAAGTAATATTTCTGATTGGCAAGGGAGTTGCGTAAAATGTTCTGAAATTCCAAAATAAAAGTGTTATATATTTTTTCTCAAATTAAGAGTCGATACTGTCAGGAATGAAAATATTATCATCAATGGCAGTATATACTGCCATGTTATGTCTACTATTGTAACTATTTTGGAATTTTCAAACATATTTACTCTTATTTTGAGAATTTTCCTAAAAAAATCTTATTTCTAATAACAATCACAAATTTATGTTAAGGATAATATTTAAGGATGCTTTAAGCGATGGTGGAATTTTCTTAAATATAGTCGCACGTTAATTAGGACAGGTTTAATAGGACTCAATTCTTCTGTTCTGACCTCATTTGAATTAGTTTCGACTGGCGTTGACTATTCCTATTTGTTACCCTGGTCGCGTGGTCTGATTCGATCTTATATAGTCGATCAAAAACTGCGACCTAGCTAGCAGGGGCGGAGTTAAGGCCTTAAGGGGAGTCGGGGTGGTCAGCGGTCAGTCGATCCCGTTGAGATTTTGAGAGTATAGAGCTCTGAAATATTTTCGATTTGATATATTATGCCCTCGTAACTCATTACGAGTAAAAAAGTTATGACTTCTGGAAAAATCAACACTATCTAATAAACATAAAATCATCCAAGTTTGATGCATGATATTGATTATTTTCCCAAATTTTATAAATAATGTATAATTAACTCTATACTTACTTGACATGATTCAGAAACAGAGCAAAAATAATCTACCTTATTGCTTATGAATGCCTATTTATCTAAACTACAAATGAAACATTCAACTCAGATATTGTGTAAAAACGATCTACCATTTTCATTTTGTACATAGTTTATTTTTGACCCTCCTAACCCGTTTTTCTGGCTCCACCACTGCTAGCTAGTCTGTTTTGCTACCTCGCTTTTGTTTTTTGAAAATTGTGTTATCTAGCTAGTCTTATTTACGAAATAAGTAACAAACGTAGTTCTGTTTTTGAAGCAGGAAATGAAGCTTGTAATATGGGCTCCCTTAGTTTAATTTACTCTCTATATTAAACCAACCATTATTTTTTCAAAATGGTGATTCTGTAACTATATGATCGTTGCCCTTTATAATCGATGTAATTTGTATGCATTCCCATCCTTCATACACTAATGCTATTTGTACACGCCATCTGTACATGCCGATCAAATTGTCTATATACAAACAATTTGACCGGCGCTTTGTGGAAAAAAAACGTTTTCACAAAGACAAAAAAAGTGTCTGTAAAACAAGTTTTCTTATTCCATATACAAAAACGTTTAGTACGTAGTATATACTAATTTAACATTCTATACCATATCAATGTGACACAAGTAATTTAGCACACAAACATTGGTTTAATTAAAGTATAAGAACTTTGGTCATCAAACGTTTATATTGCCACTTAGTTTGTATATGCAAGTTTTTCGATTTAGTAACACTATGTTTTTCCTAACAGTCTCTTGGCGTGCATGTGTGTGCACGTTTAATTCATTCACGAATGAGTGGGTGAGCGGGTATATGTGGGTGAGGGCATGGACGGTACTTGGGGTTGGGGATTCAACCTTTTTAGAGAACGAATGAGTGAGTGGGTGGTATCTAATAATTGATTTTTTAATAATGAAACGTTTAACTAAAACCATTTTGTGTCATTTGATTGTTGGTAAACCATATAAGCAAGTTTGAAGCTTAACCATAACTAAAACTTGAGAGTGGTTGTGTAAATAGGCATGTAAATATTTTCTTGTATATTGGAACCCATCTATTAGCATTTTTTCAACTTCTTGACAGCATGGAGAAGATTTTGGAGCGATATGAACGATACTCATATGCAGAGAGGCGATTGGTTCCCAGTAATTCTGACTCAACGGTATGCCCTCATCTATACATAAATGTCAAAGCTAAGTAGCTTTGATCTATCCAATCATTCTAATGCAATTTCCTCATGGCAATTCAGACGTGTATATATATATCTTTTCAAGTTCATACAATTTACTTTCATCAACAATGTTTGAAAATAATGTTCGAAGTGGTTCATTATTTGGTAAGCAGAACAATTTTGAGAATGCTAGAGACATGTTTTGTTTATTTAGTAATAAAATTAAAATTTTCGACAACTAACATTTTAACGAAATTTCGTGGTTTTCTTTTTCAGATATAACAAAATAGTGACGCTACGCTCAATTTGCTCAAGTTCTTAATGGGTTTGAGACTACATTGTCGATTCTTTCAAAATTTATAAATCTAAGTTGCCAAAACAAATTTTATCAAGCTTCTTACTTTAGACATTTCTCAAGAGTATACAGAAGTGTGTGGACGCTAAGGAGACAATAATACATTTTGCATTTGAACCTACCTTAACCAACTAGAGGCGTAGCTCACTCGATAGAAAGAGAGTGTCACAAGAATAAGGTCTAGGTTCAACTCCAATAATAGTGGGGGAATTTGACTTATAGCCCATATTCAATGAAAAATTAAATATTGACTACATTTCATCCAATTAATTGTGTCACTGAAAGGTTACGGGTCAAGTCTTTAGAACGACTTATTATCAAAATTTTATGTATACAATTGTTGTGGGACCTTCCCAAACTCTCACCTTGCAAAAATGCTTTCATGCAGTGGGCGCCCTTTACCGTTTACACCCCATTTCTTAAGGAAACTTTAAACTGATAGGATATAAACATTAAGTCATTCATTTTTTCGGTACAAACTTCAATTTCACTCAAAACATGTAGCACAAAGCCGCAAAATTAAATAGGCCGATTTTATATTGATTAAATTTTGCAGGAAAATTGGACCTTGGAATATGCTAAGCTGAAGGCCAAGGTTGAACTTCTGAAAAGGAATCATAAGTAAGAATTGGGCATGAATGGCCATGGTTCAATTAATTTGTTGGAGATGACACTGGGTTTGATGACTTTCATAAACATTCATTGTCAGGCACTACATGGGGGAAGATCTAGATGTGTTGAACTTGAAAGATCTGCAAAATCTTGAGCAGCAGCTTGATTCATCCCTTAAACTTATTCGATCCAGAAGAGTATGTTTTACTAGTTTTTACACTGTTTATATTGAGGGTAAATGTTACTTTTACACTTTTTTACACAGTTAAAACATTATTGACAGTTTAAAGTCATCATTATTTTAGGATAATGGATTAAATTAATAAGAAGGTCTATATTCAGTAAGTAGAGACCTTTATTCAAGTCTTTGTTATAAACAACCATTTCGTTTATCACATGCAGAACCAGTTGATGTGTGAGTCACTCTCTGAGCTTCAAAAAAAGGTAATTCCCTGGACTTTAATATTGCTTATGTCTCGTTCAATATCAGATAAAAAATGATGGACAACTTGAATTGAATAAATGTGTAAATGAAGGATGTGTTGAAATATTCATTTAACATTGACAATGCATCATAATATTAGGGAAAAATGATTATATAACGTGGTGAGTCCGACCTTCGTCCCAACTTAAGTTTCTTATTAAAAAATGACTTCATTATTTAGAAAATAATTATAATTAGGGTGATTCAAATATATTTTCAGAAGTAATTTTGATGGAAATATAACATAATAAGGTCATTGATAGTGATTGTGATGTTATTTATGTATTATTTTTAATATGTACGGAGTAGTATTTGATTATTTTATTTTCATTTAAGTGCTTATTATTTACTAAAATAGATTGAGAAATTTTAAGTGAGAAATCTAAAAGGGTAAGTGATAATTTTGAATTGGAGGGGGGGGGGGGGGTAAATTTTTTAATAGAGTTGCTTGGTATACACTTTTTGCTCACTTTTTGTACACTCATTTGTATACACATTCAGCTTCTGCCTTTTTAGATGACGTGTCTGTGTACATAGAAAAACTAGAAGGTGTTTACAAAAGGTGTAAAAAAAACGTATACACTCAGAATTTCCCCTTTACAAATCACATCTCTTGATACTACCCAATTTCATAACAAATGTACATGTGCCAAAGTGAAAGTGTACGCCTGTACTCAAATTCCGGAAAGACAATAAATGTCATGTTGTGTGCGATTTGTGAGGAGAAAGGGAACCACTATTGGAAGAAAAAAAAACACTTGTACACGTTTTTTGTACAATTTTTGTGTACGAGTGCGATTTGTCTATTTTGCTCATGTAAGCGGGCGATTTGTCTAAAAATGTAGAAGTTGTCTTTTTACAAAAATGCACAAAAATGGGTACACCAAGCAATTCTCTAATTGAAAATGTCTTTCAAGAATTTTTTTGACCTGAATGCAAAAGTTTCAAAATCATTATGTATATGCATTTCTCATTAATTATGGTGGAAGAACATGTTTACCGCATAAAATTGAAATAACTTTATTTATCTTCGTCAAGTAATTTAATCAATGTAAAACATTCTTTGACAGGAAAGGGCGATTAGAGAGGAAAATAACATGCTAGCAAAGAAGGTGAGTTGTGTAATGTTATACAAGTAAATGATCATGGCAATTGTGGATGTATTCGTGAATCTGAGCTAGATGTATATGTATGTGACAGAAAATTAAAGATATAGTTTAAAAATATAATAGATTTAATTAATCTCGTATAAATTTAGTGGTGGACACAACTAAAAGTTATTGAATCAAATCTATCAATGTATATACGCGCACACATATATTAACTTAATATGGGTAGATTCTAATAACTATAAATGTAACCATACATTAACCTTGATATATGGTTAGATTAAGGAGAAGGAGAGAACAGCAGCCTCGCAAGTTTCATGGGATCAGCAAAGTCAGGTCCCTCCAGGATTTCTTTTCCAACGGCAGCCACTTCCTGGCCTAAACATTGGGTATGCAACTTAACCTATTTTGCTGTTATTGATTCATTATTAATCAATACTACTTCATTCCCTATGAATGTGATACGAGGAAGTAGTGTACGTTTTTATTAAAAAGGGTGGAGTTGATAGTTAATAATGAATTTATAACGTTTAATTAAAGAAATAATGAATTGCAATCATTCAAAATAAATCAAATACTCCGTATCGTTTAAGACAAATTTAATATGCACGATAAAAAAAGGTATAATGAAACAAAGATAGAGCAATGGAATTATTACCCATCAACTTTCACATCACCTAGCTTCCCCCATCACCTTTTTACTAATGAATCCAGACTCAATTAAATTCATCAAATGAGTAACTTGGTCAGGAAAAACATCAACAAATGAATACACATATTTCCATCATTACTAATAGAGTCAAAGATTCACTAATTTTGAGTTGGGAATATGATAAAATAAAGCAAAACAACTTACTAAACTATCCAGGTTTCTATGTTATGAAACAGCAGTTATTCCGTACAATTTTAGACGCGGTTTTCATCTTATGTCATCTGGAAACAAACAATGTCTTTGTGTTTTAGTAGAAGTGTAAGGTGTTGCTTACATTTCTTCCTCTTACCTTAATATAGGTGGGAGCCTTTGTGACACTGGGATTAATGTTGTTGTTGTTGAGTCATGTCAAATAGGTCGTACAAACTTACATATAAATTTTGAATACTTCTATGAAGCTGAAATTTTAAAGTTAAAACTTCAAAAATTGATTAAAAATAAACAAAGTAACAGTATAGCAACTATCGAAATTGATAACCACTTTTATCTCATAAAATTTTCCATTCAAGCGAAAGTCTCTAATGATAGTTTTGTGACTTCATCTTGATCGTTCATTCTTCTAATGTAAGATGGATGACATGGAAGGGTGAAAAGAATTGAAAATTAAATTACTCTATGAATTTTACTATTTGTGTGATCCTAAGGGAATCTAAATGAGATTCTTTATTTTTCAATAAGATATGATGCATCCACTCCTAAATTTTACAATTTAAGATAATTAATCATATTTAGCTGAAAATCATGATGATTATATTTAGAGAGAATATGTATTTCACTCATATTTACTAGTATAGTTTAATCCTTTGTTTCATATGGAATATATGATGCTGGGTGCAGGAGGAGTTATCATGGAACAACAGGAGAGGAAGCAGTGAGGGACAACAGTGACCTAGATCTTAATCTTGATTCACTTTACCCTCAATGCCATCTTGGCTGCTTTGCTTCATGAACCAATTATTATATATATAATTTTAATTTACATTGCTAGTGTTGACTTAATCCGCCCTTCAATTGCATGGGCCGGGTAAGTAGCCCATATGCGGTAAATCGACCCAAATAATTGAGACACGTCTCTCATATGATGTTTCAGAGTAATTTATAGTGTGTTTGTTACCATAATATGAACCATTTGGTGTAAATATATGACTGATTATTTGCTTGAATAGTTCATTAATTACCTTTTTTGGAACATTCTTAAAAAAAATCCCTTTCGAGGTCAAATTGTTGTTTTGGGAATGAAATAACATTTTTTTCCCAAAACCTCTGGGCTAGCAAGCTTGAGTTGACATTTTACTTCCATATACTTCCATAGATCTTGTACAACAAGACCAAATGAGGTTGGTTATTCTATCTTATTGTGTTATTGTGTGTTTTCGAGTTATTGTCCATGAAGACACTATGCATTGAGTGATTGATCTGTCATGAAGATGGCATAGTGAAAAGTTTAATTTATAATTTAAAAAAGTCATTTTTGGATCCTCTGCCTTTTGATTTCCATGTCTCGTATAGTGAAAAGCTTCAAATTATACTGAAAAATTCATTTCTGAATCCTCAACCTTATTATTGCAAAATGACCGATGAGTTTGAAATTTTCAAAAGTTTTAGTTTGTTCCGTTGATTTTGAGGAATTATAAATATCACATATAATGTTCGAAATTTGAATTTTTACCCTAAAAGTGTATGGTATACAGTACCATTTTTTTAAAAGGAGTTGCCCAATTGTAGTACAAGGTAAAAATGACAATTGAGGAGTCAACTTAATTTGGGAGTTGTAGTTATGATGAAGATCCCAACTACAAGCTACAGAAACCTTGGATAAAAGATTTTCTCAGCACTAAAGAGCTAATTGTGCCAATAGAATTCATGGTGTCATCATGATCCACCAATGTCAATGAAGTGGAAGAAAATGAATAGAAAAATTCGTGGTCAAATTGAACAATGAATTGACTATATTATCATCCACCGCGCCTCAAAAGAAATAGAAGCTTGTACTCTATGGAAGAAGCTCGATGAATGCATGAGGCCACCTCAGCTGATTTTATTAAATAGATAGATGACACTAATTTATACTACAGTTTATTCTAACTCAGAAAATGAAGCTCCAGTTTCAAGACATGAGTTGAAGTGAAGTGAAAACAAGAACTACACTCAGGCTCTGTTTGCAAACCCAATTGAGAAGTGCTTTTAACTTTTTTAAATGATTTGATGAAAAAGTGATTAATAGTAAAAGTTGGTAGTGTTTGAGAAAAAAGTGATTTTGAATAGTAAAAGTTGGTGGTGTTTGGTAAAATAAGTGCTTTTTGTGTAATAGAAAAAGTAAAAAGCAGATTCTAGCTTTTAGCTTTTAAGTAATTCATTTAAGTAGAAGTTGTCATTTGAAAACATCTTTTTTAACTTTTTTAAGCGAAAAGCTAGGAAATGCTTTTTTAGTTGTGTTTGCAAACAGAGCCTCGATATCAAGATTCCAAGAGCACACTATACTACAGTGAAAGAGGCATCTTTCGGTACTATAGTGGGTGTGACACCATACAAATAAAAATTTGTATTTGAATTTTCTAGCGAATAAAATTGTGTAACTGAACGATAATAAAAAATCAGAATCAAATTTGATAATAAAAACTAATATATAAAGTAACAAATTAAGAGTGATTTGTGTTGATCAAGTGAATAGTGTCTGGGGCAATCTTAGCGGGATGGAGGGAGTAATATTCCATTTTTTTATTTTTTCTTTTTTTACTTCAAAGGGCGTCTGAGGGAGGGGCTGGGGGCCTGGAGTAATTGGGGTTGAAACTCATTCCATTGAGTTTCGGACCCGAGACCTCCCAGAAGGGAGAGTGAGTCGGCGATCAGCTCGGTTGGACCGCTTCCTCATTCTTAATATTCCGTATATTTTTAAAAACCGAATAAAATCGAATCGAACTAAAAATTCAATAAATTCTTATTGTATTTTTAAAAGGTGACAAATTCAAATCGAATCCAACTGAAGTATAGTATGTTTTTTCTTGGGTCACAGACGTAGGCACAGCCGCATCATGTGTGTTTTGGAATAACGGAGGAATTGACAACTTCGTAATACTTTGTAATACTTTGCAATACTTCTCTCGTTTTTACATAAGTGTCAAAGTTCACATTTCATATTTATTAATGCATAACTGTGACCATTAATATATACTCCATTTATCCCTGAATTATCTTCCAAAGTTGCTTTTGCACGAGAATGGAGAAAAGAAAAATTGTGTAGTGGAGATTGTACTGGAAACATGTAACAATGTGTAAAATATGTTTTGAACCACAATTTATGTTGCATTTTTTAAGACTGACGAAAACGAAAATTTGAAAATTAATTCAAGGACGGAGCAAGTGTAATTCTCTATTAATCAAAACATAAAAGAAATTGTAAATCTACAATGAGACAAATTTAAAATGTTTTTTTAAAAAAAATCATTGATACATTAATAAATAAAGCATACTTAAAGTAGAGCATGTGAATATTGTAAAATTCAGCATGTTGCACTTATTTAAAAAGAGATGACATATATATGTCATAATTTTAGGACCAAAATTTTCTAGATTTACGACAAACTGAAATTAAAAGAAAAAATATAAAAAATATTGTCAGATTAAAATTGTGCAACATACGGTTAAAATGACCAAAGGAACAACTTGGTACAAAGGAACAACTTGGAACAACTTCCGTTAACTGCTTCAGCGTTAGTAAGGGTCTGGTTGCTCTCCTTTCACTTATTTTAAGGCTTTTTGCACAAAAAAGTAGTTTAAGGGCTTAGATGTCGTGACAACTTGGAGGGTCTTTTTACCCCTTTTCCCTATCCCTTGTTTTAACTTTACTCGTCAGTCACACTCGCCGACCGAGTTGCCGTCTTCAAGTTAATGCGGAGAGGGCAGTGAGGTACTATGATCTATGAAGCACAGATACTTCCCTAGGGTAGTTAATCGGTGTATCCGATACGTTCTCGTATCCGATACTCTAGGATACTCGTACCGTACGTTCCCGGGCCGTATCTGCAATTTTTAAAAGTTTCCATTTTTTTGTAATTTTTTGAAAGTTTCCGATACTCGTATCCTGACGGATACCCGTATCAATTTTTTTTTTTAAAAAAATCCCAAAAATTACTTAATAAAATTCTAAATAAAAATGAAAATCTAAAACTACATTTTACTTGGTAATCAAATAATGGGCCTATATGGCTATATCTGAATTAAGTCATTAACTCATACTCCGAATTGGGTACTTGCACTTTTAATTTCAAGATTGTAGTTGTTTGTCTTATTTCTCATTTTAAATTAATGACTTACTGATTACATTTATATTTCGAGATGCACTAGTGTATATGAGAAATATTATGAATTTATTATTAAGTATCTTGAAAAAGAAAAATGTTTCAATGCAATGAATGGGTAGACATCATAGGATATTATATGTATATATATATATATATATATATATATTTTAAAAAAATCTATTTTTAATATTTATAAATAGACCCCTATAGCTTTTAATATTTGTAAATACACCCCCATAACTTTTAATATTTATAAATATAGCCCCGTATCCGTATCCTACTTTTTTTTGTTTTGACGTATCCCGTTTCCGGGTTTCCGGCTTTCCGCGTTTCCGCGTACCGGTATCGGTGCTACATAGACTATGATTCTAATTGGCTTAACTTAAATCAAAGGTGAGCTAAAATTACTTAACTAATAACTACAACAAGTGATATGGTAAATTGGTTATTGGTATTACCGGTATATATATACCCATTTATGTAGGCCCAATGATATTAAAATTGCACAATATTGCCCAATGTATTACATTCCCTAATTTAGAATTGAAAGTGCTCAATATAAAACATACATAAAGCAAAAAAAAAAAACTAGATTAAATATGTTTTATTCCCCCAAACAAGACTTATGTAATCCTAATTAAAAAAATTCAAAATAAGAGTGAATGAGTGCCATTTTGGAAATAAAATAATCATAGTCCTATTTATGAACTTTATCATTATTTCAGTCCAATTTGGAGAATTTCCTTCCAATTTAAATTTTGTAGAATTGCTGAAATGTAATCCTCATAAAGTAGTACCATAGTATCATTTAGTACTTAAAAGTTATGATGAATACTTCCTCCATCCCATAATTAAGTTTACAGTTTAACATTTTAAGTCAAATTTTGTTAACTTTGACGGTTAATTATTCAAAAGTGGTGGCAAAACAGTTTTGAGTACTTTATCTCAATATATATTATTGAAATGTTAGTCTATTATAAGTTTTATAAGTATATATTTTTAAATATCAATAGTCAACGTTGATGTTGGAAATCGTGGAAGTTCAATTGTGAACTTAATTAAGGAACAAAAGTAACATATACGAAGTAGTAAAGTAAAGGTAGTAAAATAGTGATTTTTGCACTTTAGTGACATTAAAAGTAAACCACAATAATGTTCAATTGTATGCCAATAATATTTAGAGCATCTCCAATGGTTGCTTCTAGAAACATACTTGCAATTTTGAAGCTACTTGCCTACCATTAGAGCATTAATCTTCATTTTGCTTGAGAAAGCTAATTAGCTTAAATGAGCTATTAGCTTGAGCAAAGAGACTAAGAGAGTTATTAAATGTAGTATTATAAATAATAAATGAAGAAGAAAAAGTTATATCTAACCATTGGAGTAAATTTCAATATTGCTATAAACTATGAGAGCAATTACTTAACCGCTGGAAATTTGTCACACAATTAGTTTAGTTTTTTCTCCCAAAGAGTATGATGCATTTTGAATACTCTTTCTTTATCATATCATGTGCTTTTTATTCAAGTTATCTCATACTATATGTATCACGTAGTATAACTTTTTTTAAACTAGTGGACTAGTGTTACAATAACATATTAATATAATATATCAATATTAGTGTTTTTTTGCCTGTTTTTGTTTCATTTAATTCATTTTGATGGTACCCTGTTTTTTTTCTAGGGCCACCTCAACTCTCAAGCCGCCTCAGCTACTAGGAAATAAGTTGAGTTGAGAGTTGAGAGCCGTTCTCTCCCAATCTGACCCAACGGTCATATTGTTCTCTCACGCTACCGGAAACCACCACCCCTCCGCCGTTAACCATCGCAACCAACCACTGGAGCTAGGAACCATCTTTGATTTCTAACCTCCATCTAC